CCTTAATTTACATACAAGTGACACATTTACCACCTATTAAGGGATAGTTGATTCATGCTCTTTCTTTATTGTATTATTAGACATTTTCAATTGTAAACATAAACATTCTGATAAAATACATGTATGTGCATACTCGTGTATTTTCAAATTATAGGATCTAGCAAAACACACGCCTTGGCTCAAGTTATATTGAAATAATTAATTTATATTCTCTTGTTTAAAATGATAAAAGATCACAAATAAGCAGAAGCTAAACTAACTTTTTTCCAAGTCCACACCAAGATTGGTAGACTTTGCTCATTGTTGAAGGCCGTACGGTGACCTATAGTTGTTAATTTCTGTGTCATTTGGCCTCTTGTGGAGAGTTGTCTCATTGGCAATCATACCACATCTTCTTTTTTATAATTAAGCTTGGGTTGAGAAAACGTACCGTGTTTATCGATTTGATCTTATTTATTCTAGTTTAGAGTTCATTCCTGAATGACATCGTTGTTTTCATATTTTGAAGTACAAAAGGTAAAGCTGCTTACAATTCAGTACAGTGTTATTATAATAGTGCATTTCTTCCTACACCTGAGATTCATGTAGTATTTGCAACTGGACGTTTACACAAATAAATTCATCAACCCATTTACTATGTGTCTATAAGATGTAAAAAACATATCAGTTTACTGTTACAATTCATCGTCTTAGTTAAAGATTCCGTTCTGATACAAGCATGTCGAATTGTAAACTCTGCTGTAAGGAAAGTTATGAACAGTTTAAAGCATCTGTGTTTTGTTATGCAAGCAAGATCTTAAAAAAAATCCCCATTACTGTTTTAAATCTTTTCCATGTTTCTGGAGTAAAACTTTGGAGATTTTCTTATTTATTCAAATAGAAAAAAAATATCATCGGTCCGACATTTAAAAAGCACCCTGCCATTTTTTAATATCATTAATTATATCTTCAATCAGTTCTGTTTTGAATCGGGAAGAACAATATCTACTTCAATTCAAACATTCGCTCGGTGAGACTCTCTGAAACCATCAATACTTCAACTTTGCTGCAAAAATTAGTATATAATATTTGGATTTATTTTTTCCGTAAATGCGAAATAATCGACACATCTTACGGCATTTACTATAGGGTCTTTCATATCTGTATTCTATGATAATTTAGGTCATATTTCTCTATTTTTTTTATATTTTATGTCCATTGTCATGATTATTTGCTATCTAATTTTTTGGGAGTAAATTATTTTTTTTTTCTTCTTTTTGCTCTAATCACAACCCTCATTTACGTTTGTTGTGCATGTGAGATATAAACTGCAGTCTCGCAAAGCTATACCTGTGTAAAGACAACTTAACAGTATCAATGTTTCATATAATAACTATGAAGTAAATAAAATGCATTTCTTTACGTACATGAATACATCCGACAAATGTTTGCAAAAATAAGCAAATATTTGTCAGCATTTACTTTGATTGTAAATGTTTTATAAACCGCGGTCTCTCAAAACTTTGCATACATCTGTAAAGATATGTTGCAAATATCAATATTTATCAAAATAACTGTGATAATGGAAAGTATTAGTAAATAAAATACATGTCTTTACATACATAAACTATATCGACAAACGTTTGCAAATATAACACAAACATTTGACAGCATTTACTTCGGCTGTAAATGTTTTATAAACCGCGGTCTCTCAAAACTTTGCATACGTCTGTAAAGATATGTAGCAAATATTGATATTTATCAAAATATTTATGATAATGAAAAGTATTAGTAAATAAAATACACTTCTTTACATACATAAACGATATCGACAAACGTTTCCAAATATAACACAAACATTTGACAGCATTTACATTGGTTGTAAATGTTTTATAAACCACGGTCTCTCAAAACTTTGCAAACGTCTGTAAAGATATGTTGCAAATATCAATATTTATCAAAATAACTATAATACTGGAAAATATAAGTAAATAAAATACATTTATTTACATGCATGAACGATATCGAGAAACATTTGCAAATATAACACAAACATTTGACAGCATTTACATTGGTTGTAAATGTTTTATAAACCGCGGTCTCTCAAAACTGCCCACACCTCTGTAAAACAGTTATGCAAATTTTAAACTTTGCATACATCTCCTATCCTGGAAAGTGCATGCAAATCTAAGGCCTATGTTTACATATCTTTGGAATATGAATAAAGCTATGGAAATAAAATAATTATCTTTAGCATATATTTGAGGACGTCCTAAATAATGCCAAAGGAATAATACATTTACATATACATTAGTAGGTCCGCAAATATATCTGGCAGAAAGGTAGTTACATTTGTCAAACATTTACATGATTGCCCAAATTGTTGTAAATCTGCCTTTTCGTGTAGTGCAACCGTGTATTTAGATTTTGGATGATGGACCATAATAGGTTAAAGTCAAATTTCAAATTTTTCAGTTCTTTGACCACATTCATTCTGTGGTAGAAACCTATGCTGTGTCAAATATTTAATCACAATTCAAATTCAGAGCTGTTCCAAGCTTGAATGAAGTGTACATACTTGCTCCAACAGTTCAGGGTTCCACCTCTGCAGTCATATCAAGCTGCTCCCCATGGACCATTTTATTAGTCCCCTATCGACGAAGTCGAAGGGGACTTTAGGTTTGCACTCCGTCTGTCCTTCTGTCAGTCCGGCAAATCAGTTTTCCACATTTTTTTTCTTCATGCTTGAAGATATTGATTTGATATTTGGTATATTGTTTTATTATGACAAGTTACAGATCAAGTTCGAATTTTGTTCCGGTCTGATGATTTTGTGCAGAGTTATGGTCCTTGGACTTAGAAAATTCACTCAAATAATCAGTTTTCTACATTTTTTTCATCATGCTTGAAGATATTGACTTGATATTTGTTATATAGTTTACACCATGACAAGTTATAGATCCAGTTAGCATTTTGTTCCAGTACAATTAATTTTTAACTGGTAGGGGACTATGTATTGCCATGCAATACTATCAGATTGCTTGTTCTGCTTTGTATCGATTTGATGAGTTAAGCCCTTTTTGTCTGAATTTTATAGTTTGTTCTTATGTTGTACTGTTACACCACTGTCCCAGGTCAGGGGGAGGGTTTGGCACCAACAATCTAATTTAACCCTGCCACATTCTGCTTGTGTCTGTACTAAGTCAGGAGCCTGTTGTTTGCTGCTGTATATCATATTTGTTTTTCGTTCATTGTTTTGTACATAGATTTTCTTGTTTGAATTGTTTTACATTTGTTATTTCTGGGTCTATAGCCGACTATGCGGTATGGATTTTTCTCATTGTTGAAGGCCATACGGTGACCTATAGTTGTAAACTTCTATGTCATTTGGTTTCTGGTTAGAGTTGTCTCATTGGCAATCATACCACATCTTCTTATTTTTATAATCATACATGTCATACCTTTTGGCAACACAGCAATCATTATGATGTTCAAAAAATGTTAATTAGCAACAGTCTATTGATTGTTGTCATAAACTGAAACTATTCGCATATAATGTAAAAATTAAATTGAAATAAATCATGTTTACATGGATATTTGTACAAATATGCTTCAAAAATACTCTGTTATACAATAAATTTTTTTATCAAAACTCTCAATTTTTAGCATGCTGCAATGTACATAACTTACTTTCCTTGAAAGTTTCTGAATTATGTGTAATTTTGTTTGCAGAACTAGTATTTATTTGTAATTGATTATCTGTCATTCAATCAAGTTTATGTTGTTTACATCTTTAACAATACAATACACTGATTTATTTGCATTCATTTTCCTATGTAGCAAAAATTATACACAGTGAAAATTTAACCTGCCCATTTTGTCATCAAATTGTGAAAAAAAAACTTGACACAAAAAACGTGATATACAGAATATGCCAATTATAGTTTTGATCTAGATTTCATGGTTTACTTATCAGTTTTGTTTTAAGAAAATTTACCAAAAAATGTTGGTCACATCAGCTTAGAAACATGTTCATTATGATGTGATCTTTTTGAAATATATGCCATGTTAGGGTTTAACTGAATATGGAAATGTGAAGTGTGAGCAGGGCACAGTGTCATATGGACACATTCTTGTTGGAAATGAGTTTGAATGATTCCCTTTAGAATTAAAGGTTAATTACACCAACATCTATTGCACTTTTTAAAGAAAATTTGATAAACAAAGTCACTAAAAAAAAAATTAAAATTTGGAGGGAGAAAGTCTCCTACCAATTTATTGAAAATAAAATAAGGACAAATTTCTACCAGGCTATGAGAAAATGATGCACTTTTTATTCCTTTTAAAAATTGTAGAAGATTTATTTAAACACTTTATCTTGATGAATGAATAATGATTCATTCATCAAGATAAAGTGTTTAAATAAATTCTTTATAAGAATTGATATTTTGCTAATTCCTGTCTCTGGTTGCTGGATTTTCTTAGCAGTGTTGAAGACCCATTGGTGGCCATGGGCTGTTTTCTGCTCTTTGGTCGGGTTGTCTCTTTGATACATTCCATTCTCAATTCTATTATAATGATTAAAGGGTTTTCTTAAGCCTGGCAAGTCATTTGGCTTCTCAGAGTAGTTATTTGTGGTATACTCAATTTTGTATAACAATGAATCTCTATACTCCACAATATAGAATGTTTGTATACTATGGATTATTTTCGTGGGTACCAATTTTTGTGGATTGAGGAAATTTGTAATTCCATGGATATTTAATTTCATGGTTTTTCTAAAAACTGCATACTGTATAAGCCCATAGAAAATTTACACTTTGTTGAACATTTAAATTCATGGTTCACCGTTTATTTTCACGAAATCCACGAAAAATTGGTATCAAATAAATAACAATGACTCCACAGTAACTGATGTGTATGGGAGCAGATAATAAAACCATTAAAATCTGCACTCACTTTTGAAAACATCCTATTTTAGATATAACTATTGACAAAAATTTGTTGCTTTTTAATTTCAGGATCATCAAGAAAAGACTTGTAGAAAAGTTATAGTACCTTGTCCATATAAATGTGACCATCAACCAGGGCCAAGGGAAGAGGTTTGTTTTGATAAAATACTAATTAGTATTAAAGTTAGAAATATATGAAAATAATGCATTCCCAGTAGACAGAATATGTGTGATGATTATAATCATAATATCTGATTGAGCATTTTGAAATATTGATATTGATTTTATATTAGTAATTTACATAAATTTTGTTACACCGCTTTTGTGTTTTTGTCAAGACAGGCAACTTATAGGTATTTAAACTATAATGTGGCTTACGTTTTTTGTTCAGGTACAGCTCAGTATTATAATATATAAGGCCCTGATTTCTTAGTGCCAGTAATGCTCTGATTACAGGATTTTTTTTTACTATTTGTTCAAAGTTTTAACTAGTCTAACTTGATGTGATTATTATAAACCATGGAATGCTAATATATTAGCTTCTAGATATCTTATCTTCAAGAACATTTTGAGGTTTAACTTTAGAATCATGCACAATGCAATTTACAGTACTGATACAATGTCCTTAGTTCAGTTTTGAGTCTATGGTCATATAAGTTTTCTATTACTTCGTAAGGAATACCCATTCCCGAATACATGCACACAAGTATGTCCATTTAATTGTTGATTTTGGTTTTATAATATAAAGGAGACAAAATATTGTACCTAAGATTAACTGTTATATTATTTTTTTTCTCTGAATAACATAGGATACCATTGCAGTATTAGCAGTGTTCATATAGGTTACAATAAAGTTAATAAACCATTAGATTTTGTGGGCCCAGCCATTTTATGAAGATAACATGGTATTCAGAATTAAGAGTATGGCTAATCCTGATTGGTCGATATGTGCACCCGTTATTTTTTATTATTAGAGACTTCGTGGACCAAAAAATACTGTCCGATTAATTTTTCTTTAATTCAAGCAAGGTTTCATTAAAAAAAAATCAACTTTCTAAAGTCTGTATCTCGAAAAAGACTATCATTGTCGCCTATGGGGAAATTAATTGTTTATTGCAATCTATATATGCCCATGTAAACCAGATTACTTGTTCAATAAATGTTTAGTGACCAAAATTGGTATCAACTCATCACTAGTTGTATTTTATCAAATCCTATTTCAGAATTTAGTGTTGATAGCAGATATTTGATATTCTGGGTTGTATATACATGATATATATTATAGTAGTACCGGTAGTATCCCATTAAAAGTTGCTTTAGATGTCGATTCATGATTGATGGTTAATTATAATAATAATAATAAATACTTTATTTAAAGAGGGTAAAATCAGTTAGTACAATACTAATCTCCCCTGATTTACAGATTTAATTGTTGCTAACAAAGCTTTTTTGTGTCAATGAAAGGTATATTTCAAGTTTCATGAACTGGTTACTTTTTATCAATAACTCTCTGATACAGTGATCTAACAAAAGTAGGACATGTTACTACATGTATCAGTAAAGATTAGAATGGGGCCATATAGGTTTACCCTTGTCCGTCATTCCGTCATTCCACAACAAACCATTATACGGACTTTTTTTTCTAAACGCCTTCAGATATTGGGCTGATTTTTGGTATGTGAGTTAACCATGATGAGTGACAGGTCAAGTTTAAGTTTCGTTCTGCTCTGCTAATTTTTGCCAAAATTACGGGCTTTGGACTTTGATAAATTGTTGAAAATCACAGTTATACAATTTTTTTTCTAAACACCTTCAGATATTGGGTTGATTTTTGGTATGTGAGTTAACCATCATGTGTTACAGATCAAGTTTAAGTTTCGTTCTGCTCGGCTGATTTTTGCTGTAATTACAGGTTTTGGACTTTGAAAATTGTTGAAAATCACAGTTATACATACTTTTTTTCTATACGCCTTCAGATTTTGTGCTGATTTTTGTGTGTCTACCATGATGAGTTACAGATCAAGTTTATGTTTCGTTCCGATTTGCTGATTTTAATGTCGTTTCAACACATCTTCAGTACATCCACTTCCTGTTTGCTGATAGTTTGAAATTTAACTACTCATTGATCAAGGAAATTTTTCATCAAACTAGTATTGGTCTTGAGAGCTGGATACAATCCATGCATGTTTGTGTCCACATGTGTTGTTGAAATTGCAGATTTTTCAACTTTTTGAGACAGGGCCATTTGTGTCGTTCCGACACATCTATTTCTATTATAGTTTAAGTCATTGAGATAATAGACATGCAAAAGAGCAATGTTTAACTTTTTTTTTTTATTTTCCGTGCATTTTCATTTGTTAATTGAACTTTGTCATAACTGTTGTTAAACGATTTGGTGTGTTAAAATTTTTATATTAGAATCAATAACACTATCTACACTCCACATGTGTTTACATTTTCTTTCATCACTGTTTTTCCCTTGCACTTGTGCTGTGCAGTTGCTTGAGTACTAACGAGAGGTCTTGTGGTTAAGGTCATTGCCTACTGAAAAGCTATCGGGAATTAGAGTAAGGGAATACAGTAATTCAATAGCAGTACAGTTCTGTAGATTTTGAGAAGATAAAGGATTTTCTTTGAAGTCCATGTACACATGTTTTATAGTAAAACTCAGCCATTCAAGTATTTAAAACATGTTCACCTTCTTTTTTAAATTTGAAAAATAATATAACTTTAAAAGTTTTCTGTTAAATATGTCTTTAATATGTTGCCTTATGCATTTGTATTAAGCTTATTTGCAGTATATATAAATGCATTTTTGGATCAAGTGAAGAACATGGAATCAACACTATATTGTAACCAAAACCAGAATTCATACACTTTTCCCAAATTCCCACATTTGTTATTTTTAATGCTAGAAATGTATGCATCGTTTAAGTTTTTGAATAAATAACTACCATTTGTAGTTTTCATTTTTGATTAAGGGTTTGCATTAAGGTTTATATCTCAGAAGATAAGGATATTTCATAGTATTGTCATCTTGTAAGTACAAAACTTAGTTCAAAATCTGTCAATAAGTGAATTTGGGAAAGTATTGCATTTATTTATTTTTTATAAAAACTACTGTGGATTCTTTTATTTTCGTAGGTACCAATTTTGTGGATTGAGGGAAAAATTGATTTTTGTGAATACTTGATTTCGTGGTTGTGCCAAAGTCTGTACACAAGGCTTTAAAATTTGTCTGAAATTTGTATTTCCTTGAACATTAAAATTCGTGGTTCACCTTTACCCACGAAATTCACAAAAATTGGTATCCCACATAAAATTATGAATCCACAGTATTACATTTTATCATTCACCAGTTCTTCGCTTCATCTTGCATTATTAGTAACATAAATGTTAGTTAGTGATTTGTTTCAACTTACTGTGTGCTATATGTTAGTTCTATAACATAACATATTTAAAGTTAATGTTATCCTCTGAATGAATGTTATTTCTAGCAGGTCCAGGATGGTATGTACAAACTGTATTGTTTAACAGCTTTGTGTTATATATATACCCAAAATAGCAATCTTAGTTAATATGAGAAAGTGGCTGTTTCTTCTTACTGCACTTAATGAACAGTTCTTTTTTATGCAATTAGATAAAAAAAAACAGAGGAACACTTTTAGTGTTTTAACCGGATTTTTAAAGTAAAAATCAATTATTGATTTGGGGATGTACGGCGGGCGGGCGGCTGTCTAACAGTGTCTGTTCATTTACATGAAAACGCTTTGAAGAATTTTTTTCAAATTTAGATATGTTGTTTCCTGTGACTAAATGAAGGTCAAGTTCAATTTTCACGATTTTAGCTTTTCTTGTTGTTCATATTAGAAAATTTTATAAAATTTTGTTGCTTTTTCGTGTCAAATTGACCATGCTGTCAATTTTGTAAATTTTGGATTTTTCTCTTTTAGAAAAAAAAGCATATTATTTCAACTTCTTTGTTATAAATGATTGAAAAAAAAACATATCTAAGAATTTTGAAAAAGAAAAAATTGATATGGTTTGTACATATTTTTGGTTAACTCATTTCTTTGAAACCTCACCTATTTTCTCAACATTTTGGCTGAGGACACTTACCAGATTGGTTATAAGATTTGAAAATTTTATTACTCAAAAACTACTTATTGTAAGTACACAATTTTTCACAGAGTTTAGTTTGACTATAATATTTTTTATATTCATTGATATTTTCCACTTGTATCACATGTTTCGGAAATAATTCTCGAACAAGTCTTCAACGAGACTGAAACCTCAGACAAATACATCCTTAAGATAAATGCTTGTAATATGTATTATTTTTTTAAGTTGATACATGCTTATCTCAGAAGTTTGACCAGTAAAAATATGAGTGATGCAACAGAATCTTTGTGTATCATTATGAACTGGTTATTTCTTTTCATGTGATTCATTTTTTTAGCTTTATTGACCCAATGTTAGCCATTGATATTGCCAATCACTTAGCATATTTTTTTTTAGAACTCTTCTCTGAAACCATTGAACCAATTTTAATCAAACTTGGGTCTGAATGATTTTTATTGGATTTAGTATAAATAAACCTGGCCGCCATGCATTTCTGTTATTCAAGATTTTTTCTATCTTGTAACTGTAAATATATAAAAGGATCAGAGAAATGAGATCTACAACTGTGACAACATGACTGTAATACTTCAATTCTTTTTAATACCACATGCTATTTTTTAAACAGATTGTCCCATCTGTCATTTCTTTTCCGTATGCTAAATCAAATACTTTGTATCAGATTGCAACCTTTATTTGATATATGATATAATGAGAGACAGATTCCTATTGATTTTGTAGTCACCATGTTAAAGTTAAAGGTCATAGTAAAAATAGACAGCAACTTGTGCAGAAAAGTGGTTTCCGGATTCTTAATCAATTTCTATATGTGGGTTTGCAACCTTAGTTGTGCATTGAGCACAGCATTCTATACATTCTATCCATGAACATTTCAAGAAATTTATCAGTGAAATAAATACTCAGATATTCAAGTTACAAATTATGTGAATGTGTACAATCATACTTGTCAAGGAAATTACATAATTTGTGCATGAATCTTGTATATGTTCTTAAAATATCAATGATGACATTGTTAAAGCAATATTTGAAATTAGAGTTATCTTCCTTTGTTCATTATTGTAGTTGAACCAACTCTATAGTATAGCCTTTCAATAATTAATACAATGTGATGTCTAATTTTATGTTCGAACTGCAAAATGAATGCAATCTTTACCCTTCAGTGCTGACAAGCACTTTGAGTTTTAGAAACGTCTGGTTTAAATATTGTCACAATCTTGCTTAGTGTATAAAAGATTGTGGCCATAGTTGCTAATGGTTAAAAGTTGTGAAGTTTTGACAGTTGAACAATTCATACTCCTGGGAGCTTCTTGGTCTCATTGTTTTAAGATTTTATGTTAACCTAACATGACAATCTTCATTTCTACAGCAGCATTACTAATAATGTTTTCCAATGTACAGCATTATGCATGCATGTTTGTTTTGTAGAAGTAGTGTTTGAAAATCAATTTATATATTGATAATTATAATTTTGTTATATTTGGATATTTTTTTATTTTCTTTTCTTTTTAGGTCAAAATTGATCTATAGTTTTATTTATCCTGCATTGCTGTGAACTGTTAAAAACAGATGTATATATGATTTAGTTTTTAGATCATTCATGCCCATGTTAGAAAACATTTTTACAAAGACTTCTCTTTTTAAGAATCTCTTTGTTAAACAATTTAAAGATTGCAGTTTACTGATAGAATCAAACATCAGAACAGCCAGAATTTGAAGCCCCTGTAAGTGACCTTAAGAAAAAAGGGCATTTGATTGATTGATTGGTTGTTGGTGTTTAATGCCATATTCATCACTATTGGCTATCTGTTTTTATTGGTGGAGGAAGTCTGAGTGCCTGGAGAGAACCACAACATTCAGTAGGAAATCTGAAATCCTAGTCAGTTAAGATTGGAATTGAATGCACTTGCCATGTGTGGAGTTTGAACTCAAAACTTAAGTGTTGACAACCTAGTGATACAGTGAACAACTTGACCACTTGGCCACTGAGGCCCCAAAGTGAATATGAAATTTGTAAATATAATGAATAAAAGAAGATGTGAGGTATTCTTCTTTAGGGTCCAAAATTAACTTGGTGTCCTTTGTGGTGCAGATCTAACTGTGTATTTAGATTTTTTTATTTTGGGGCCTGTTTTCAAATCGGTCCACATTATCAAGTGTTGACAACCTAGTGATACAGTGAACAACTTGACCACTCGGCCACCGAGGCCCTTAAGTGAATATGAAATTTGTAAATATAATGAATAAAAGAAGATGTGAGGTATTCTTTAATGAGACAGCAACACAAAAAATAACTAAAGAGACCAAGAGGTCAACATAAGGTGTGTATGTTTGTGAAAGTTGCCAATTATATTATAGTTTCTTTCTTTATAGTCATATTCCAGTTCAACTTTGATAGCATTTTTGATATCTTTATTCTCAGGTAAAGTTATTCAAAATGTTTTTTTCACAATCACTTCATTGTATAAACAGTTTGAATTACAGACTTTAGAAACAGTTTAATCTAACTTTTAGAATTAAGATGTGGTTGAACCAGACTTCTAGAAGACAAATCACATCAGTTTCAGTTATATAAGTATTTTGTGTTTTTAAAATTCTTATTTTATTTATAGATAGAAATTCATATGCAGACATGCCAGTTAAGACCACAAGAGTGTAAATTCAAATCTATGGGATGTCAATTTGTGGTATGTATGGGATTTTGTTAAATATGAGTAGATACGTCTTAGAAAATAGCATTGTCCATACATTCACGTGTTGTACAAAAACTGTGAATGTTTTGATAAAACTTTATGAAACTAATGTGGAATATTTGAATTGGACAAAGATATCTACCTGTCAGATTTAGTAATTTTTTATACAACCGCAAAATTTTTGCGTTCGTATTATGCTATGGCTATGTCTGCGTCGTCATCCGAAGACATTTGTCGTCTGAAGACTTTATGGTTTGCAGAAATTTTAGCACAAGGTTCCATAGCACAATAGGTAGGTTGGGATTGATTTTTATACGACTGCAAAATTTTTTGCATTTGTATTATGTTATGGCGATGTCTGCATCAGCGTCCAAAGACATTTTGGGGTTATTGTCGTAGTTGTTTAGGAATTAGGGGCCAAAACAAGCATTATTTTTGTTTCAGGACAATAACTTGTGTATAAGTGTATGGATCTCTATGAAATTTTACCACAAAAAGAAGATTGGATTAACCCAAACTGTTTTGGATTTAATTGCTGAAAAGGGTCCAAAAAACTTGAGTATAAGTCTATGGATTGCTATCAAATTGTACCACAAGGTTCCATACCATAAAAGGAAGGTTGGGATTGATTTTGGGGGAAATTACCATAATCATTTAGGAAAAAGGGGCCAAAAACAATACTTTTGTAATACTTTGTATAAATTGCTTATTTCTTGACCAATTTCAATGGGGTTTACTTCTAAGTCTTGAATATTTGGGGTTCTTTAATATGCCAAATCTAACCGTGTATTTAGATTTTTTTTTATTTTGGAGCCTGTTTTCAAATTGGTCCAAAGGGTCCAAAATTAACTTTGTTTGATTTCATCAAAAATTGAATTATTGGTGTTCTTTGTTGTGCAGATCTAACTGTGTATTTAGATTTTTTTATTTTGGGGCCTGTTTTCAAATCGGTCCACATTAAGGTCCAAAGGGTCCAAAGTTAAACTTTGTTTGATATAAAAAAAAAACTGAATTCTTGGGGTTCTTTGATATGCTGAATCTAACAGTGTATTCAGATTTTTGATTTTGGGACCCGTTTTCAAATTGGTCTACATTGAAGTCCAAAGGGTCAAAAATTAAAATAAAATTGAGAATGGAAATGGAAATGGAGAATGTGTCAAAGAGACAACAACCCAACCAAAATGAAGAAAACAGCCTAAGGCCACCAATGGGTCTTCAACACAGCGAGAAAAAGTCTGAAACATATAAATGAACTAAAATTAAGATAGCATACAAGACTGACAAAGGCCAGAGGCTCGTGACTTGGGACAGGCGCAAAAATGTGGCAGGGTTAAACATGTTTTGTGAGATCTCAACCCTCTCCCTTTTCCTCTAGCCAATGTAGAATAAACAAACACACAGCAATACGCACGGTAAAACTCAGTTTAAATGAAGTCTTGAGTCTGATGTCAGAATAGGTAACAGAAGAAACTAAGCAAAATGACAATGAAACATAATTTAACAAAGGACTGCTAGCAGTTACTGACATGCCAGCTCCAGACCTCAATTAAACTGATTGAAAGATTATGTCTTCATCATATGAAAATCAAGCACAATCCCTCCGGTTGGGGGTTTAGTATCATACCATCATAAAAGAGAAGAACATAACCTGTATCATGCCAACAACTGGTTTTAGAATAAATGTGTTTATGTCCAATGCAAAGACCCTAGTGAATCAATATTAATTCTAAAACATGCCATCTTTAATGACCTGACAACAGTATCGTAACTATATCCCTTCTGAATATGTCTGTTTAAAGGTTTGGTTAGCTTTTGGGGTGAATGACGACATTTTTGTGCTTTGTACTGAATATTACCATAAAAGATTGGATGTGAAATACCTGAACGTATAAGATGTCTGCATGTTGATTTATATTTATGAATGATGTCCTTGTACCGAAGATAAAATTTAGTAAATGTTTTGACTAGTTTGTGATATCGAAAACCCTGGTGTAATAATTTTTCAGTAATACAGAGATTTCTTTCATTAAAATCAAATACGTTGTTACATACACGAGCGAAGATGGTGCCAAGGGAATATCACCATCTAAAAATTTATAATTAACAATAGGAAATGAAAAATCATCTCTTTTATCGTAAATTTTGGTATTAAGCTTCCTGTTAAAGATATAGATATCAAGATCCAGGAAAGGGCAGTGTTCATTGTTAGTATTAGCTTTATTTAAAGTCAGTTCAGCAGGATAGATCTCTTTAGTGTACATACTGAAGTCGTCATAATTGAGAGCCAATATATCATCCAAATATCTAAAAGTATCAGATGTTGTTTCGATGTGTCTTTGCTGATTTTAGTCTTAAATTGTAACTCATAACAATACATAAGACAGTTCCGAAATAAGTAGTGCACAGTTAGTCCCCATTGGAATTCTGATAACTTGATGATATACGGAATCTCCATAGCGAACAAAAATGTTATCTAGTAAAAATTCAAGTGCAGTTATCGTATCAAAGCAGGTCCAATTGACATAGTTCTTTTGTTTGTTGTTACTAAAAAATGACCTAAAAGAGTTTGAACATATATATTCGCATTCTGACTTTTTAAATGTCCATTTAATTAGGTGTGTAATTTTTTTCTTAATGAGATTATGATGCAAAGTGGTATATAGGGTAGAAAAATCAAAACTTGGAACAGATTCGAAATCACCAATATAAGCATGCAATTTATCAAGTACTTCCAATGAATTTTTGACACTCCAAAAGTAATTAATTCCACTATTTTCAAAGGCCTTATTTGAACAATTTATTACCAGGTTTTTGATTGTACCAAGTGTACTAGTAAGTAGAATAGACAGTTTAGTAGTGGAACAATGACTTGAAGACGAAATAAATCTATATTTGTAAGGTGTATTGTGCAGCTTCAGAAGCCATTACATTGTTGGAACTTTCATTGTATTTGTTTCTGCTTGTAAAGAGGTAGCTAAAAGTTTATGTTTGTTACAGACGTCATTTTCCGAAAAATGGAGTCAGTTGGAATGTTGGTGAATTCGTGATTTCCTTTTGCAGAACCTCCATGTAAAATTTACGTCAAACAATAAGGATATTATTGGCAGCCTTATCAGCCGGGACAAAAACAAATTCCTTGGCGAGTTCTTTTAGCTTATGTTTGATAAGAGAAATAGGGCTATTATGGTTGTTGTTAGGAGTAACGATATTAGGTCCTTTACTGAGGAATGATTTCAACTCTCGGTCATAAACGATGTTATGGTCTCCTGTTATAACATGGGAACTGGGGCCATAAATGTATTCGAAATTACTGCAATTTCATGACGTAGGTGTATTGTCACTGATATTAACATCTTTACACACTTCACTATAATTAAACACATATTTCCGGGTAGATTTTTTGCATAACGAAAAAGAGGAGCTCAGTATTATCAAAATAGCCAGGAATTTGTTCTTTAACATTGAGGTCCAAAGGGTCCAAAATTAAAACTTAGTTTGATTTCATCAAAAATTAAATTGTTGGGGTTCTTTGTTATGCTGATTCTAACCATTTATTTAGATTTTTTATATTGGACCACAAAAGGTAAAAGTCCAATTTCAAATTTTTAAGTTCTTAGACCACATTCATTCTGTGTCAGAAACTATGCTATGTTAAATTATAATCAGAATTCTAATTCAAAGCTGTATTGCACAATGAGTAGAAATTATAAGTACAGTAATAGTTAAAAATAGATATAACATCAAATCAAGAATAAATATAGTTTGAAACTTCTCTTCATTATTAAATATTTTGAATATAATTAAAGGTAACATATTTTAAAGATTAAAGCTAAACCCTTCAGAATGAAAGTTTCATATCTTCTCTCATTTATAAAATGGTTAAGTAGGGCTGTAAATCTGTCATCTCATTCTGATCAAGGATTTGTATACTTACTATACAAATCCTTGTTCTGATAAAGGGACAGATAATATTACTTAAGGATGTATTCTTCTGACGTTTCAGTCTCGTTGAAATCTCGTTCTGGAATTATTTCCAAAACATGTGATACAAGTGGAAAATATCAATGAATTTTAAAAATGTTATAATTAAACTTAACTCTGTGAAAAAATTGTGTATTTACAATGAGTAGTTTTTGAGTAATCAATTTTTCAAATTTTACAACCAATCAAGTCAGTCTTTTTAGCCCAAATTTTGAGAAAAAAGGTGAGGAGTACAAAAATGATTTTACCAGAATCATGTACATCCCATATCATATTTTTCTTTTCAAATTTTTTTTTTTGTATTTTTCCAATCATTTATAACAAAAAAGTTGAAATAATATGCATTTTGTTCTTAAAACTGAGAAAAATCACAAATTTACAAAATTGACAGCATGGTAAATTTGACACAAAAAAGCATCAAAATATGATAAAACTTTCTTATATTGACACCTACCTATAGTTTTTATACGACCGCAAAAAAATTTTGAGGTCGTATATTGGTATGACGTTGGCGTCGTCGTCGTCGTCGTCGTCGTCGTCGTCCGAATACACAATGGTTTTCGCACTCTAACTTTAGTTTAAGTGAATGGATCTCTATGAAATTTTACCATAAGGTTCAATACCACAATAGGAAGGTGGGGATTGATTTTAGGGGTTATGGTACCTACAGTTATGGAATTAGGGGCCAAAAAGGGGCCGAAAATAAGCATTTTTGTAACTTCCAGACATAACTTGTGTGTTAGCATATGGATCTCTTTGACATTGTACCACAAGATTCCATATCACAAAGGGTCAATGCTGGGATTGATTTTGGGGTTAATTGCCTCAAAATTTTAGGAATAAGGGGCCAAAAGGGGGCAAAAAACAAGCATTTTTCTAGTTTCATGACAATAACTTGTGTGTAAGTGTATGGATCTTTCTGAAATTTTACTACAAGGTTTCATTTCACAAAGGGAAAGCTGGAATTGAGTGTTGTGGTAATTGCCCAAAACGTTTAGTAATAAGGGGCCTAA